TTTAATTACTTTGCAGCTGCTTTCAATATCTATCGCTTAAAGTGATCTTGATAATTCTTGAATCTCACATTTTCTTATCGTGTATTTGAAAAGATTAATAAACTGTGATGAGTTATGCTACATCTTCAGTACGTCTATCTACTATCGGTCTGTGTATAAGAAGCAGAGATTAATAAAATTGAATCAAATTAAATAATTCCGATCAATCATAACCTTTTACAAAAAAAGATTAGTAATCATGTAGGAGTATTATAATTTATAAATAACCAAAATAGTCGTTGAAAGAATGTACGTGCGTGCATAGTTGCATGGTTAGCGATGTTATCTAATCACGCATGCATTATTCAATTGAGATACAAGGTTGAGGTAGAAAATCTCAGAGCAAGGCAAAATCAAGCCATCCTTTCCATGATCATAACCAAAAACTTCGGCAGCATTTCTCAATAGTTCTTGAAATAGAGGGTTCTTCAAGTAAGAAATCGGAACCACGAAACGCTTCTTCTCTTCTTCATCGTCGCCTACATAGATTACAAAGTGCCCTCTAGGTGCTCGTAGTATGGCTAATTTTTGTTTCGAAAAACGTTGTTTTATCGAAAATATAATCTGCCTTACTTGCTTAGTATGAAGAATTTCTTTGATTTGGATCGCCATATCAATCTTAGAAGAATTCGACGGATAAGATTGAGTTGATCAAGTATGTTAAGAAACTATGTGAAGTATAAGCTAAGAGAGTTATACTTGAATGGATTGATTTTGCTAATAGGTTTGAATTGTGTGTATATATATACATCATAAGAAAGAAAGTCAAAATAATTTATTAAGAGAAGGGTTAACATGAAAATAGGGTATTATAATAAATAATATGCAAATTGAGAAAGATTATCTCAATAGCAACTTGAGCATAGTAAGATAATTCTATATAAAAACTTTATATTATGTAAATTAATATATTTGAAAACTTTGCAACATTCTTATGTTGTTTGGATTATGAACAAATCCAAGAATTTCAGGTACATATCACATGGAAATATAAACTACATGTGGCAAGTATGTGTGCCATTTGGATTCGTTATATTTTGAGAAATTTCTTAGACTGCAAATTGTCCACCGTTTCCTGCGTATACTATAAGCAACAGACGCCGTTGTGTGGAGGAATCAATATCTCGACATAAGCGCATGATAAAAAAGATTTGTACTCCAATCTGAGATGTGAATTATTCTAGTTCAATAAAATTGCATTTTGTTTAATTTCTTAGATAATTATTTTCGGATAAATACTATATTTGGAGTATTTAATTATTTTCAGATAAATACTATATTTGGAGTATTTAATATTTATGTCTATGTAATAGAGTTATATTCTAATAATGTTTTTTTCCTTTTTGTAAGTATAGTACATGGCAGACATAATTAACAACTTGCTATATCAAAGGTTATTTGTCATTACATTCCAAATTTCACACATCATAATGATAATAATTTGTTTACCGATAGGTGCATTATTTTGACTTGTTTACGCTATCTGTATATATATTTATATATACTAATTTGACCATTAATATCTATATACATACACATACATATAGAAAAAAAAAATTTAAATTTAAATATTGATAATTCAATATTGTACATTAAACAACTCTAACAAAAATCAAAATTAATATGGCAAGTCATTATTACATATTAATTAACTCCGTAGTAAACAAATATGTCAAAAATTAGCATATAAATAGAGTAAAAAAAATCAAAATATGCCAGAAATGGAGGAAATTTATGTCTTTTATTTGTCACTAAGCTAAGTAGCTAACACACTTATCTACTGGTTCATGTTAGCTTTAAAGACTTAACCTTTTCAATTTTATTAATATGGAGTATCACGTAATCGGTGGCAAATGTAGAATATTTAGTGTGGAGGGGCACTAAATCGGTGGCACCCAGGCCCCTTAATAGATCCGCCACTGAACATAATGATACTGGCAAATAAAATTGATTTAACTTAATTTTGTTCGTTGTATAAAATAATACTCAACCATCATGATCTATTTTTTGTTACTTTAGAAGATATTTATTTATTAGTTATAAAGACACTGACGTTTAAACTTGAAAGTGTCAAGAGACAATATATACCGTAATAGATAAATCTAATAATTTAAAAGATTAAACAGGTCGGATTTACCAATTATTTTGCAACAAGTGGTGTAACAAACTTAGCTCTTAATTGTAATTACGAAGTTGGAGCTCGAGAATTGTCTTCCCATTGGACATAGGTAGACATGCATTTTAGTTTGGCAAACTTTGTTGCATGTTTTCTGGTTGAGTTAGTTTTGGAGCAAAAGGATTGTATAAAATTAAAGTAAGAACCATTATCTTTAGCATTACTTTATTTAGCTGTTTTCTTTGGTACTATTCCATGCTATTTGCTAGCCTAGTACATCAATGATTTAGAACAACTTTGCATGGCACAATGCAAGCAGAAGCCCAAATTTCAATTTTACGAAAAAGGGAAAAATATAAATTAGTCAATAGACTTAGGTTCCATTTGATTCAATTTATTTGGTTTTAATTTATCTTTTTTCCTGCCTTCAAAAAAAAAGTTAACTACTTTTTTTCTAATTATCTGATCTTAATTTATCTATCCTGACTTATTTGAGCTTATTTAAACATTTTTTCTTCTTTTAAATGTACAGTATTTCAAATGAAATTTACTCATTTGTATCTGAAAATTTCTAAAATAACAAATAAAAAAGACTTATTTTGTCGTTTACACTAGTTTTTTTGTTGAAAAAAAATTATTTTATTTAAACTTATTTTGTCTAATACAGTGCATAAGTTAAAATAACTTAAACAAAGTGATGTCTATTTCAAATGAAATAAGCTTCTCTTTATTGTCTTGGAGTATTGTTAAACTTTTCTTAAACTCATTATATTATGTTCCACTAAATTTTTTCCTCTTTCGGTTGATTATATTCCATAAAGTTTTTTTCCTCTTCTACTTAAATTAGGCAAAGAAAATTTTCCATTCATCCTTATTACTAGTAGTTAGTTGGTCCATCCCATCCTTGGGATTCACTTCTCTCACTTATTAATTTCCAAATATAATCTATCTATTATGCAAAAAGGAACAACCAAATCAACCAACGATCTCACTTTAATTTTCTCACTTTTCCAGATAGTATGTATAGTACGTGGAGATAAAGTTAGAGGGGATCCGATATTGGCGATATGGATATGGAATTGAGGAGTTAATTATTTCTATTATGTTTATTTTAGTCTATGATTTATTATGGTCTTATAGACACGTACTTCTACTAATAGATACTTGTATGATGAATCACTTAGCTAGCTAGTTTGGTATAATAAATCGAGATCGATGTGATTTGTCTAATTGGTTCGGTGGTGCCTATGGATACATGTTAAGTTATTACAATAATAACTTGTATATTAGCGTTATCTGAAATCAATTTTCATGTTGATTTTCAATTTGAACAACTAATGTGAGTATTAATTAATTTGAATGCGTGTATGATATGTAGTAATAGTACTATATAATAGTATCTATATATATACATACCTATTGAGTAACTCGCTTAAACCTTTGGAAGAGTACAAGTTTAGTCCAATTATCTATGAAACATATATATATCAACTGATTTCACCCATATATATTCATCTCGTAAATCACATGCCAATGTACTCATCTTCAGATAAGATCAAATTAAAAACTATATAAGATGTTATCAATATAATTATAATTTACTCAAAATTTGAAGCATAGAAGTTTCACTATTTTGTGTACGTGTTTATGCCCATACTATTGCATGATGAGTTGCTTTTTCCCAGCTTATAATAGAAGTGTTGGTGCCCATACTATTACAGTTATATAAATGGATATATATGATTAATCAAACATCAAATCCTAACAAGTGTTTCTTGCTTTTGTTGGTGCAAAGAGAAGGAAACTAATTACTACATTCTTGTCGTTTGCTCGGCCATTGCGCGAGGCAATATATATCATGCCGACTTTCAAATTTCATTTCTTAAATGAGAAAAGAAAATTCACCACATGCTACATCTGTCCAAATTTAATAGTCACGTAACATTTAGATAGTGTAATTTAATTAGTCATGTGATAACTAATTAAATCCAATCCGATGGTCCATCATTTGGAATGTAAAGTACAATCATTTGCATATAAGAGTAGATCTTTCAATCTCCAATATGGCTATTATTAAATAATTTAGACAATGTATCTTTTTTTCTGGCGGAGATCGATCTTCACATTCAATTTGATGTATATATACTACTACGTACAAAGTATTAATGAGAATTTGTCATATCTTTATATCATTCTCTCAAGTTATGAACATTTTATATGGGAATAATAGACAATGTAACACTAAAAGATGGGCAGAAAAGACTCCTTACACGAAGGAGAGACCAATTTATGACCCAAACATACAAAACAAAGTATAAGCAAAAGAACATAACATTATAATCAAGAAAGAGACATAAAATACGTACGCCAATTTAGCCATTCCGCAATTTTAAGAGATATTTTTCAAAACATAACGAAAATAACATCGATAAAATGAAAGGGACACAAATATAAGTAGGCCATATGTGAAGGCTAGCCAAATGTTTGTAGTAGCTAGCAATTTGAAGTTTAATTTGAAGATATTTTTTTCAAAATGAGAGAGACAAAAAGGTTAGAGAAAATGGAGTCTAGCTAAGTTCCTCCATGTGAGAGATACAGTATCATAAAGCTTAATGTTTAGATGAAGACATAAAAGTGTATAGTAGATAATTAAGATTGTTATTGGTAGAAAAAGTTGTAATCTTATCCAAGTTCGTTAAAGATAAAGAAATAAAAAGATCGTGCTAAGCTTAAACTTATAGTTGAAGCCCATAATCGATTTATATATTTTATCATGAAAAATGACATAATGTATGCATTTATAATGCAGTGTCTTGAAGATCACATAATTAATTAGCCAATCAAAAATTTGAAAAATAAACAATTTTTACCAATATCTTAATCATGAAGGTATACATGGTCGATCATTCCGACCCATGGACAAACATGATGAACAATTTAAAGCTACGACGACTAATAATAATCTACTACTACGAAGTAATACACTAGTTAACAATTTCTTACGACGAACATCTAATGAGAGATATGAGACTCGAAAAATAGTCTTCGCTACAAGGGATTGTAAGACCACCCATCGGATGGTCATACCCGAACTCTTCCTCCACCACATGCAGTACATTTTGAAACAAAGGGTGGTTCAAGTAAGATATTGGGATGACTTGCCTCTTCTTGTAAGTCTCTCCTACATAAACTACGACATGCCCCTTTGGTACATCCGCGTTTGAGCTTGAAGGTGATCGCGTCTTCTTGTTAGATAGAGTTCTTTGAAGAATTCTCTTTGCTTGCATTTTCTCCATCAATTGAATACCCATACTATTGATTTTGGTTATTCTTAGCTTGACTCTCTTTAAATTTTTAGTGGTAGTTTTTATGTATGTAGTATGTATTTGACTTGAGTGTGTATGAAATGATATGTTGAGCATGAAAGGTTTATATAGTGTTTGTAATATTACCGTGGGGTGTAAATGTAGTTACACTACGAGTTGCGGATCACACCCACGGTTTGTTAGTTGTATATATTGAGCATTTAGTAGACAAGGAGGCCCATTCATTTAAATGATTACCCAATTTGCCTAAGGAAAATGTCCAAGGCAATGCATATAGACTTGAAATGTTAAATTCTCCCAAATATTAATTTAAAATAAAAAAGGGCTTAATTAAATTCATTTTTATAATATGAACTAAGTTAGAGTGTATAATATATTAATATATAGGTTGGTGTAGTACATAGTTTGTTGTATAAGTACAACTCCGATCCCTTCGTTCCACTAAATAAAGTTCTCTTATGTATGAAAATAATTATTGATTTTTATCGGTCTCATTAAAATTACTTTGCCTAATTTGCTTAATGGTATAGTTTGTACCTTTACGATCCGTATATAACTAATAAAAGATGAACAAAAAACATATATGCTTTAAATAGGGTAATAATTTTAATTAGTGGAACGGAAGAAATATTTATTTTTTGTGGTTATATTTGAACCTAATTATTAATCATTCTAGTTGTTGGAAGTGGACCCATATTTTCCAATAGGAATTGTCGACTTGACCACAAAACTAGAATGAAGCTTTTGGACCAATTTTGCTTTTTTGACATCAATAAAGAGGGAGACAAGGACATATCACATGCTAATACGTGGGTTATATTTTTGTTGCTAACTAAGGAAAAAAAAGAAAAGAAAAAAAAAAAAAAAAAAAAAAAAAAACCAATATATATATGTAAGTGTATATATTTTGTGTAATATAAGTGGATATACCAACTATTTGATAAATAAATTGAAGTAGCTAGAAGCTAGCAATGTATCATGCTCAGGTTTGGACGTACAATGTAGTGGATTAGAAGTATACACCTACATTTGCATGTGTGTTTTGTGGGGGAGAGTCGTGGATATGTTCGAAAGAGTCAAATTTTAGGTGGTGTGCATTAAAAATGATAGAGAAATGGTTATAGAAGCTATACGGGCCGGGTATAGTTGTTACAAGTCTTACGACGGGTGGAAAAATAAGAAGATTTTATATGGTACATTAATAATGTTTTAGCTACATCCATGTGGAGAAAACGGTTTTTAAAAAGTTACGAGCTAGAGTACAAAGTACTGAAAGAATAGGTTTATTTTACCTTTATTGAGTTTATTTTTATGTACTATTGGGTTACAAGATATACCAGATTCAAGCCTTCAAGGCATTCCAACAATACCATCAAGGCATCTAGTACAAATAATGGCGAGGAGGAGGTAGGGATAAAAATCATAGTGGCTTCATATTATGTTGCATATATAGGAACAAGGTAATTAAATTAAGGGTTGAAAAAATAATGTGTTGTCGAACTTGGAAACCTCAAAAGCTAGAGTTCACATATTAAACGATCTCAACCGAGTTAAAATTTAAAAAAAAAAAAAAAAAAAAAAAAAAAGTCGTGGACTTGTGGTAATATTTTGGAAAGGTATATGTAATGAGATCGTGTTATTTAATTCACTGCACATACACATGGCTACATGCATGTTTAATTGTTTATGATACTTCGTATTACTTTGAACTATTGTGGTGATGGGTGTCTTATGGTGGTTATATAGTGATATACGAATAAAGTATGGAGTATTTGATAGAATGATAGTCATGACCTCTTAAGGCGATTGTTGATCCTAGCTATAATGAGGTGGTGAATTATCATTACTTGATGCATGGTTGTAATAAACTCATATTTATGAGTGGACTTATTGGATTTTCCTCGCAAATATAGAAGATTAGAAGGATATATAAGAGCCCACTTCTAATGTGGGAATCTTTGAAAAAAATCTCGAGCATATATAAAAAGTCAAGTTCTTCAATCCAACACAATAAATAATTTTTAAGATTTTCACTGACTTATTATTGCTTATTATGATTTTTGTCAAGTACAAGCAATATTAATTGACATATTATTCTATTAGTCCCGTTAATCTCTAACAAATTATAATATGAATAGACTTTTACATTAACTTAATTGCATTGCTTTCAAAAATATTTAATTGATGGCCCATAAGAAAAGCTAATATGGGGCCGAATTATTACCATTAAAATTGGCTTATCATATGCAATTTTGCCCACAAATGCATGCACATTTGATATATGACAAGACCACTAAAACATGATGTATAATCTAAGTTAATCATTATAAGATCAGAAAATGACTTCTCTTTAGTTCTAATCAACATTGTATGCCACTTCCAAAAGGTTTGACCTACTTGAGTTATACCTTTCAAATTAGGCTTTTTAGGGTTACCTTTCAATACTTCAAAGTTTAACTTCAACGTAGTATAGTCTTTATCCTTGTGATCAATCAATTGGATATTTTGAACTTAAATAAAAATAAATAAATAAATAAATAAGGTGATATCATTTCATGTTATATGTATGATATTGGTGTTTCTGTTTTGAGTTAATTGATATTTTTTTATTTCTGTATTGTAATCATTCTATTGCTTTTTTTTTTAATCATTCACATGTGAAATACTTTTGTTATTGTAATTTATACATGTATACTTGAAACAACTATTCATGGGCATTTAGAGTCGAGTTTTATGTTGAATATGATTTAAGGTTGACTATTGGGAATACTCAAGCTAATTATTTCTAATAGAGTTGGGACCAAGATGAACTCAAATAATTTGCGAGCAAGTTATCATCACCTTTAATTTAAACCCTTTCACAACCTAAAAATAAAATCATGCAATTTGTACAAGTTTTAAATGCTAAACTTCAAAAAATCCAACTTCTTCTCTTTCATAATATTGATGATCTAAGTTTGCCAACAACTGCTATTCTTAATCTCTTATGTAACACATTGTAAAGTCTATGATATAACGTTAACTTATACGTGGTTAAAATGACACACAATGACAAAGGTGAAAAAAAAATAATAAAAAAAATCAAATCTCGAAATTAGCTAGTAATTTTATTACTCCTTATAACTTTAACATAAGATATTAATTAAAATCAAAACTGTCAATAATCGAGTTCAACATTTAAATGCAATGATCTATTGTTTTAATAGATGAGTACATACATACATTCGAGGTGTGTGTCGTATATAAATTATAACGCTTAAGTTGAGCAAGGTTTTATGACATATATATATTTGGTTTTGAGTTTAAGTTGGCCAAGGTTTTATGATACGTTTAATGATATATTTGGGTTGGAGTTTAAGTTAGGCAAGGTTTTATGACAGGGCAAAAATCATGTCATTAAAAGTCTTATAAAAAGGACGGGCTTTGATCCCGTCATTAATATTAGATTGTCGTTATTGGGCCTATAAGAAGCCGGTCACAGTTGGATTAGGTTTTGGTCCCTTTAGGACTATTATCAACAAAGTGGGTACGTACTACGTACCATTAAAAAAAGGAAAATTCTATCATGTACGTAACGCAACACTATCCTATTTTCTGAGTTGCCACCAGCCAACACGAGCTCCAAGTTCAGAGGATACGATATGCAACTTTTAAGGAGGCGGAATGTTGCGTCGCTTATATAATCATCCTAATAATAAGCACCTTAATTTAATTTGCTGTATTAGGACAAAAGGGCATGTTCCCAACCTGGGAATGAGACTGCTCAATTTCATCTTATAATTAATGGGTTTCTTTAAATTATCGTATTAAATAATTCCTTTGTTTTTTACTCTATTCGTCCCTTATTTTTTGTCCCATTGTGAATATATGGGTCAAATTTATAAAACTTTGACCATGGATTCTCTCTAATCTATAAGTGATAATATATGCATGTAGAATCTTGTTAGAATCGTCTTATTGTATATTTTATTAATATCAATTTTTTGTAATATTTATGGATATAGAAATGTAGATGTATACGTTTGAACACCCGTCTTGAAGATTGTTAAAAGTCAAATGAAGCAAAAAATAAGGAACAGAGGGAGTAAAAGTGTAAAACACTTACAACGCACTTCCTTCTTAATTATTGATACGCAAACAAGTACGGAGTAATTAAGAAAATTCAATGGAAAAAACAATTTATCTGTTTACCTTCTTTGATAACTTTTTAGATGATGTGCCTACGAGTTGAGGTGTACGTGTTACAAGTATTAAAAAAATAAAAAACAAGGTAATCCGACATGCATGATGTAATAATGATGCTTTTTACAGAGAGTAATAGCTTCAAGCATTTATCTGTGTATAGATCAAAGACGTAAAACAAATATTTATCACTCTAGAAAAGAATATCGTCGCAACTGGTAAAATGAGCTTAAAGCTAAGTTCAAAGGATACCATATGACACTTTCAAGGGAACTATTGAAGAACTTAAATGTCGCTATTTATCAATTGCCATCATATAATAAAGTACCGTAATTGACGAACAGGTATGTTCAAAAGTTGAAAGAAATACAGCTCAATTTCATAATTAAAATGGGTCCTTCGTTTATTTTATGGTTCTGCGTAAACCTCGGATCATGCTATAGCCAAGCATTCGGCGAATTCGGCTCCATGGATATATAACCTCTTATGAGAGCTGTAAGTGTAGTGTGAAGTGTCTAGTGTTCAATGCATAGGAAGATCATAAGTGTGTTAGTGGTCCTTTGTATTGAAGTGAGACTGAAATCCACTGAATTGAGTTTGTCGCTGAAGTTGCCCTATACTAAGAGGCTAAGAATCGTCGAATGCAACGCTAAAAATATTTTCTTTTAGGAAAAATTAAAACATTATGTTATTCAACGCTAAGGAAATTGTCGGACGGTCCTAGGGTTAAAAATGTTGTTTTCTAAGTTGACTTAGAATTTAATATTCCTCTATCATATTATCCAAAAAATTAATTGCTTCGCAATGACGCAGTCAATGAGATTATGCAAGTAAAAAAAAATAGGTGAGTGAATGTGGAACCTAATTTCAGAGAAAAAGTTTTCTATAAAAAAATGATGTAGAAAATTTTGACATCTTAACATGAAAATAAATTTGGTAAAATGAGAATAGGAAAAAACATTTTATCTTTTATA